GTTGCTGCCACTGTGTCAAACAATTTTGTTGGGGGGGGGCTTCCTTTTTCGTGCTGACCCTCCATTTTCCAAGCATGATGTCCTTCTCCAGGTCCCTCCTGATAATATGTTCAAAGTATGAGAGACAAAATCTCACCATCCACGCTTCTAAGGAGCATTCTGGTTGTACTTCTTTAACACAGGTCTGTTTGTTTTTTTCAACATTCTTTGCCAACACCACTACTAAACTGCATCAGTTCTTCTATGGTTTTCCTTCTTCACTGTCCAACTTTCACATGCATGTGAGGTTATTGAAAATACCACGGCTTGGGTCAGCTGCACTTTAGTCCTCAAACTGACATCTTTGCTCTTGAACACTCTAAAGAAGTCTTGTGCAGCAGATTTACCTTTTACAATACTTCATCTGATTTTTTGACTGCTGCTTCCATGAGTGTAGATTGTGGATCCAAGTAAAATGAAATCATTGACAACTTCAGTTGTTATGCTATTTATTATCATTGTTGTTAACTGATGTCAAGTCAGTTCTGACTTATAGTGACCCTATATAGGCTTATGAGGCTGTAAATCTGCGGAAGTAGTAAGTCTTCTTTCAAGGAGCGGCTTGTGGGCTTGAACAGCTGACCTTGTGGTTTGCAACCCAGTGCATATCCCACAGAGCTACCACACTCTATGCTCATGGCTTAGATGATCTGTGTGTGTTTCACTTAGATTTTCTTTCTTGTAGTTCCCACCCTTCCCGCACATACTCCAGAGAAAGTTGCTCTTCTTTCTCAATGATCCAGCAAACAAACTTTTGCGCATCTCTGAGAGGCCATTAGTTTGGAAAGCTCTGATTGGTCAGCTCTAGAGCATGTGTGCAACCTGAAGCTGGGATTGAGCCACATCCACAGAACCCCCAGCACAGAGAATGGGCATGCAATGGTGTTGCTAGAAGCCAATTAGGGTACTATTGACTGGCCAGAGATGGTTCAAAGCAGCAGCTGGCTCCTAGAGGCTAAGCTTAAGTGGCGAGGTTTGCATTACATGCTTGCTGACTGGCTCCAAAGGCCTTGTCATTTCTGGCTACTCAGAGCAGAGACCCTCAGTCCCATAGAAGGAGATGTAAGATGCCAAGACCTGGCTCTACCCCGAGGCAATGAAAAGAGACTAGGTGTCTGGCAGGAGGGTGGGGAGGTGGTCATGGGCTTGAACTTCCTGTTGTTGTTATGTGCCATGGAGTTGGTTCTGACTCATAGCAACCCTGTACAGGGTTTCTGAGGCTGTAAATCTTTATGGGAGCAGAAAGCCTCGTCTTTCTCCCGTGGAAGCAGCCAAATCAAGAACCAGTAGACTCTGAGTATTCTTCCCATCCTCACACACTGTCTTGGGTGCTCAATATTCCAAGTCTGATACCTGTCACCAAAGAGGGACTCTTACAATGCAAGTCCCTTTTGGGATATTTAGTTGTTGCCTGGAAGGAAGGTGGGTATCCAGAGACTGTGGGTGTGAACTTACGCCAGTGCAATAACTTACCTGGCCTTGAGTGTGAGTCCATACAGGGACGTGAAGATCCCATCACAAGACGCGAGGTCTCCTTTGCAGCCAGTTTGAAGCTGGGACTAGACTGGATGCTGTTTCTCACTAGAGTATCCCTTGCTATCACATAGCAGTTGTCCAGTTCACAATGCATCCCAAGAGTGAGAAGCATCCCAGCCCCAGGCAGGTCATCATCTTGTCCCCTCCCATCAGTGTAGGCTGCAGACTGCCTTGCACTGACTATGCCTTGCCAGCAGGCTTCCTCTTTTATACAAAGGGGAAAAGACTCCAAATACAGCCATTAAGGGACTAAGTGCTTTGGCTCTCATTGTAATTCTTGTGGTTCTGGGCCGTCCAGCTGATACTGACCTACCTGCGACCCACCAAGGTTTCTTGGCTGCCATCCTTACAGAAGCAGACGGCCAAGTCTTTCTCCCACAGTGCTGCTGGGTGGGCTCGAACCGCCAACCTTTCAGTGAGCAACGAATGCAAACTGTTCCACCAGAGACTTCCCCTGTAATTTCCAAACCCAATGCCCACTGCCACAGAGTCCATTCTGACTCACAGCGACCTAATAGGACAGAGTAGAACCGCTCCTTAGGGTTTTTGAGACTAACCTTAAGTTGGAAGCAGACTGCCTTACCTTTCTCCCATGGAGAAATCACCAACCTTTTGGTTAGCAGCCCCATGCTTAACCCGCAGCGCCACCAGAGACATCCCCTGTAATGACATTAAGTGCCATTGACTTGGTTTCCACTCACAACACTCCTCTATAGGGTTTTCACGGCTGTAAATCTTTGCAGGAGCAGAAAACCTCATCTTTCTCCCATAAAGTAGCTGGTGGGCTTGAACCTCTGACCTTATTGTTTGCAATCCAGTGTTTATCTTACTGAGCCACCATGCTCCCCTATAATTGTGGTTCAAAATGATATTGCAGTCCAGTACTTATCCTATAGCGCCACGCCAGAACTCTTCCCTATAGACATAAGGACTCCTGGTGTGGCACTGTGGGTTAACGTGCTGGATTGCAAGGCTCATTTGAACACAAAGTCAGAAGTTCAAATTCACCAGCTGCTCCTCAAAAACCCTAAACAGGGTCACAAAGGGTTGGAATCAACTGGAAGGCACAACAGTATGTAATGCTGATATATTTAGACTTCTCTGAGCTTCCTTCTCCACTTGTTTCTCTCTAACTTCTAGAACCACTGCTCTAGCAGGCAGGGAGCCTATGATGCTGAGTGTCCTGTCTGTACCACACAGACATCGTCACAGAAGGTTCAAGGAACACAGATATTCCTCAAGGCCTCGTGACGTACCCAAGGACACCTGGGAATACACTCTGGGCCCCGAGTCCCCAGTCGTCCCAAAGCCCAGACCCTTAGGCTTGGCCCAGTTAGATGCCAGTAGTTTCTGGACCTTCCATGGATCTGCTACCATTGTCCCCACCCCCTCCCATTCATTAAATAGTCCATTTTGCTTCATTTACTACATAGTGCCTTTGTGACACAGGGAAAAAAAAAACATAGTAAAAGTCTAGTAAGCACATCTGTGGGTTCTGGTATGGCGCTGTAGGAAAAACACTGGATTGCTAACTGTGAATCGGAGGTTCACACCCACCAGCCGGTCCTCAGAAACTCAATTCAGGATCGCTATGAGTTGGAACCAACTCAACAACCCTTAACAATAACAGGTACATCAGACACGTATTCATTCACCACTTGACTCTGGTCTTCAGCAAGATCTTTTATTTATCTTCTTTCCCCAATCAGGTCACATCCAGTACAGGTAGCCAGGTACCAATGTAAACGCATAAGAGTCGGGATGCGTAGAAAGCATGCACCTCGGATTTTCTTTTACAAGATACTAATGAGTAGAAAGACTTTCAGGTAGGTCAGAAATCTGTCTTTCCCTGCACTCACATCACTGAAAAATATCTGTACTCAAATTTAAACTTTATTTTTTTGCACACTTGCTTAGGAACTACCTGGTCCACTTCAGACCAGGTTTATGTCTCACCGTTGTTCCTCAGAGAAGCTGCTGGTTTTTAGTTGGATCACACATTGGACCTATACACGAGAGGGTTTCCAGAAGTTGGTGGAGAAATGGAATGAAAAGAGAATGGAATTTCCCCAGGAACTTCTGGAAGCCTCTTTGTTTATGGGATTAGTTGTCTATTTCATGCCACCTTTGGCTTTATGAATCCCACACTGACCATGGTATGAAATTCACAAAAGGGTTTCTTTCATACCTGGCTGACAGAAGGCTGGTAAACAGACCTCGCTGGGCGTTTTCCTTTTGGGAGAGGGCTGGCAGCATCGTATTCACAGCAGACAAAAGGTCAGCAAAGCAACAGAGTTTGTTGCAACCTTGATCCTTTGGGCTTGGAGGTCTTTGTAATGTCCTCCCTTCTACATACTGGCTGAGGTCACATTTACTCAGACACAGGACCCACAAACACTTTTTCCACTCTTGAGTCCAGCATTTAGACACTTGTACATGGACGAGGACATGGGAAACATAGGCAACAAAATGCCAAAGCAAAGCAGACACTTGGTCAGATCTGCAATTCCAGTTTGGCCAGAGGAAGTTCTTTCCAGACTCTTGGCGAAGTGATGTCTTATCACCAGCACAGCCCCTACCAGCCATCCTGGTGGCCGCAACATTCCTGAATGTTGACTCAGACAGCACCACCTGGGAAGTTTCTGAGCCCCTACTGGCAGTAGGACTTCTATAGGCAGTGAGGTAAGCAAATCACACATTCTGAGGCTGGGAGGCCCCTGGCTCTCAGGAACGCCAGCTGCAGCTTTGTAGGAAAGCAACATTCACCCACTCCCCCCTCAAAGCCCCTGGGCCCACCAGCTGAGATGCTCTTTGCTGTTTTGGGCCTGCCAAGGTTTGGGGTAAGTTGAGGATGGTGCCTTGTCATCAATCAGGCCCTGACACTGTTTGCACCTCTTCCGGGGTTTGGCAGCTGTCCACCCTGCCAACGGAGCTGGCCTGCGTTGGCAGCCGGAGGATCCCGTAGGCCATGTGCCCCAGCTCTCTGCGCTGTAGCTGTTTTGTTTCATTTTTCATTTTGCTTAGTTGCTTTTTGAGATGATCACAAGAAATTTTACGTGATGACACTCAGACAAATAACCATTTGGTGACTCAATTTCAGAGCTTGGGAAAACAAGTTAGCAACAGATCACAGACTACAAGGGCCCCAATCTCTAGTCATAGGCTCCGAGGGAAGCACAAATAGGCCTTAAAGGAACCCCAGAAGCAAATGATGGGAAGGAAGAAGAAGAAAAAAATCTAAGGAAATACAAGCTGAAAAATTCCCATTAACAGTCACAAAGACAAGAGGGACCTGACATGGTATAAGATGCCGTAGAAGGGCTGTCTGGGGAGGCCAGTTCTGAACCTGGGCAGGGCCTGGGCTGGACCACTGTCTGCCCAGGCTGGGCCTTGGCCCCTTGCCGACTCCAGCATGGGACACCTTCTCATCGTCCCGGGGCAAAGATGAAGTCCAGGGCCTGCCGTTCAGCTGCAGCAACGTTTGGATGCCACAAATCAACCATGAACACTACTCGGGGGCCATCCTCCGCTGAGCCTGTGATGGGCAAGACAGAAGAGATTCAAACCACCTTTGAGTCCTGGTATGGCACTGTGTGACAAGCACTAGACTGCTAACTACAAGGTCAGCGGTTCAAACCCAGCAGCCACCACTCAGAAGTCCTACACAGGGTTACTATGAGTCAGAACCAACTTGAAGGCACTTTACAACAGGATCCTACTGGTTAGCTTCAGGGCAGGGGCTGGCCTCTCCCTCCTTCTGTCCCAGGTCCCAGAATTAGTTAGCATGGTGGTGTTGTGGGATAAGCGTTGGACTGCTAACTTCAAGGTCGGCGGTTCAAACCCCCAGTCACCCCATGGGAGAAAGATGAGACTGTCTGCTTCTTAAAAGCCTGTGAGCCCGGGCAGCCTGAGGCGGGGTGGCAGTGGGTTTGGTTGTGGGAAACAGGGCTCACCTTCATGGAATGCCGTGTGTAGGAAAGAGTCATCAAAGAGCAGGCAGCGACCTTCCGCCCAGCACTGGGGCTCACCCCCCACCACCAGCTCACAGCCGCTTGGTGTTTTCAGACCTTTGAGGGGTAGGGGATAAAATAAAAACAACAGAAAAAAAGTGAAGCAAGCGGTATGCTTTGGTGAGAGCTTTGACTTCACTGTGCTTCTCTCTTCCGGCCAACACTGAGGCACAGCCAGCTCTTTGCCATGGTCCTGTGCAAAGGACCACCCTGTTCTGCGTCATGGCTCCGCTGGGAATCTGGTGAAAGGCATGGATCCAACCTGAAACCTAACTAAGGGGTCCCAGAGATGGAGGGAGGTAAGGTTCCAACTGCAGCTGCCTATACCATAATCACTATATCCTGCTTCAGGGTCACCCTGGACGCTCTTGTCAGTTGCTGTCCAGTGGATCTGACTCCTGGTGACCTCGTGTGTGCAGAGTAGAACTGCTCCACTGGGTTTTCAAGGCTGTGTGAGCTTCAGGAAGTGTCCTGCCAGGTCTGTCTTCCTAGGTATTTCTGGGTGGGTTTGAACTGCCAGCTTTTGGCTAAACATTGAGCACTTTAGCTGTATTTGGGGCACTGAAGCCATCTAGGTGAGAGGAAAAGTGTGAAGACCCCCATAACGCTCTCCTCTCTGGGTTCCAATCAGTAAATCCATATTGCGGCCAGAGGATGGCACATTCTTAGTCTAAGATTCCTCAGCCTCGTTCTGGGAACTCCAAGGAAATGTCTGAGGAAAGCAGGCTGACACCTTAGTCAGGAGCCTCTGGCTCCCAAATGCAAGTGGTGTCCCCAAGCCAGGGCAGCCTGAGCAGGAAAGGAAGGCCCTGAGGAAATACTGCTTCTCTGAGGGACTGTCTGGAGAAACAGCAGGTTCCGCCATGACTCCGACCTCCGGAAACAAAGGCACCGCAACAGCCGCCTAATCCAGCAGCTCAGAAAAGACTGAGCCCATATATTCTCGGATGGCTGTTCTTCAGTGACTCAGATGAGCCAGCATTTGCCCCTCATGACAACAATAAACAGCCTTCCCTGTAAAAGCTGGAATGTGTGAATGTACTCTTTAAACCAGAAACACAGGATTCCAGGAAGTCACATGGAGCAGTGCCTAGGGCAGGACAGGACGCTAGGGATCGGAGGAGCTCTGGCTATATGTGCTGAGTGACTGACCTCTCATCTGTAAAGAGAACATCTGCATACTTACCTCCCAGCACTTCACTGTAACCAGGGAGCATGGCTGCCCACACCTACAGCCTGACTGTACATCCCACAAGGAGGGATTGAGGCTTAAAGAAATTAGTTATGTGGCCAGAAGTGATTATTTAGTTGTTGTTGGAATTGAGATTTGAACAGAATTAACTCAATGGCAATGGGTTTGGTGTTTTTGGCTTCTGTCCTGTTCCCAAACAAACAAACAAACAGTTCAAACCTACTGTTGTCAAGCTGATTCCAACTCATAGCGTCCTTACAGAACTGAGTAGAATATTGCTCCATAGGGTTTCTGAGGCTGTTAATCTTTAAGGAAGCTGACTGCTTCATTATTTTTCATCAGTAGGTTTGAACCACCAACCTTGGAGTTAGAAGCCAAATGTTTAACTCACTGTACCACCACTTGCTTTATACAACTGGACATATGATCTAAATGCTAGTTATTATACTAGTAGCGTAGTGGTTACGAATCGGGCTGCGAACCTCAAGGTCAGCAGTTCGAAACTACCAGCTGTTCCGCGGGAGAAAGATATGGCTTTCTGCTCCTGTAAACATTTACAGCCTCAGAAACCCTGTACAGGGTCGCTATGAGTCAGTTCCAACTCCATGGCACATAACCACCACCACCAATGGTATTAGAGGGATTGCTCATGTTCTCATAGGTGATTTCTTTCAATGTCATGTTTTATTATAAAGCAATGTCCCCCCTGGCATTAAGGGTAAGCATTATCTGTTAACCAAAAGGTCAGTGGTTTAAACCTACTAGTCACTCTGAATGCGAAAGATGAGTCAACGTGCTCCCATAAAAACTGACAGCCTCGGTCCCCTGTGGGGCAGTTCCACTATGTCCTACAGGGTTGCTGGGAGTTGGAATTGACTGGACCACAGTGGGGCTGAGTCTGGCTTGAGTAGACAAGGCCATTAGGGGCCTTCTCTGCAGGCACTACGCACCCCTAGTCTCTTCAAGACGTTTCCTTCTTCTGGGGCACTAACAGGAACTGATTCACTGCCACGCTCCATGTTACTATAGACAAGTGACCCTAGATGGCCTTCCTATCCCACCCCCTCCCACCGGCCACCGGTTCATTCTGTTCCAGCTTCAGTGGCACAGGACTCTGGCCTGCTTGGCAGCAGTGATCAATCCTTCTCCAAAGATCAGCCCCCTGCTAGCCTTGGCCTGTTCCCTCATCCTAGCTTTGTCTCCTCTAACCACTAAAGCTGGCAGAAGCCTGGAAAAGGGCTTGTCCAGCAGCAGCCACATCAGCAGCCTGGAGGTCAGCACAGGCAGTGGCCAGCCAGACAGCTCCAAAGTCTAACAACATAAGATGAGGAAAACATGAGCCTAGTTGGGCTTAGCGAGAAAACACGCCTGCATCTCCGTCTGCCTCTTCTCGACAACTGGCTACCTAACCATCACCACACCTCAGAGAGAGGAGACAGGGTGGGCACTGGGGGTGGGTGCTTGTGAACCTGTAGGCACCTTCTCCACCTTTCGGCAGGTGATCGGCAGAGGTGTGGATGCCAGGTATAGAGCAGACTCACTCCTTCTGGATCTCTTCAAGGTCACGTGAATCTAACCCATTTGTTTCCTTCTGAGACAAATGGAACCAGCTACCATTGAGTTGATTCCAACTCATGATAAGCCCATGTGTGTCCAAGTAGAACTGCATCATTGGGGCTTTTTAATGATCGAGTTTTTGCAAGTAGATCAGCACGCCTTTCTTCAGAAGTGTATCTGGGTGGTGGACTAGAACCTCCAAAGTTTTGGTTATCAGACAAGCGTTAACCATTCATACTGTGTAAGGCCTCTGTCTTCCTCAGTGGGCACTAATGTGGGCCTGATGGTGACAACAAGTCATTAAGCACAACTGGACTGGAAACTAGTCACAGCCCAGTGAGATGCATGGATGACACACTGTTCTAATGGCCACCGATCCACAGCTGTCACGATGGACGTTAGACACTATGCATATGTCATAACTCACAGACCTGGGCACCACACAGCGTGGACTTCAGTCCACAATGATGTGTCAGTACAGGCTCACCCCCTAGTAACCAATGTGAACCCGAATGCAAGCTGTGAGTCACAGGGACACTGGGGGAGGTTGAGGGGAGGGAGGTGGGAGGGTAGATGGGAACTCTTTGTTCTGTCTGCTCAATTTTTCTGTCAGCATAAAATGGTTCTAAAAAATATACTCTATTAATTAAAAAAAGAATTTAAAAAAGTATCTGTGTGGGTGTGTTGTACACACACAACATGTGCACACATCATAGACAGTACATAGGAGACGCATGGTACAACACAAGTGTACAGATGCACACACACATGTACAGATGCACCACAGACAATACATAGGAGAGGTGTGGTATACACGTGTGTACAGATGCTCCATAGACAGTATATAGGAGGGGCGTGGTACACACACATGTGTATAGACGCACCATAAAGAGTACATAGGAGGGGTGTGGTACATACACACACGTGTACAGACTCACCATAGAACATAGGAGGGGCATGGTACACAAACACGTGTACGGACTCACCATAGATAGCACATAGGAGGAGCGTGGTACAACACACGTGTACAGATGGACCATAAAGAGTACATAGGAGGGGCATGGCACACACACACGTGTACAGACTCACCATAGACAGTACATAGGAGGTGTGGTACACACACACACATATACAGATGCACCTTAGACAGTACATAGGAAGAACGTGGTAAACACACATGTACAGACATGCCATAGACAGTACATAGGAGGTGTGGTACACACACACACATATACAGATGCACCTTAGACAGTACATAGGAAGAACGTGGTAAACACACATGTACAGACATGCCATAGACAGTACATAGGAGGGGTGTGGTACACACACACGTGTACAGGCGCACCATAGACAGTAAATAAGAGGGGCATGGTACACATACATGTACAGATTCACCATAGACGTTACACAGGAGGGGCGTGGTACACACGTGTACAGACGCACGATACACAGTACACAGGAGGGGCATGGTACACACACGTGTATAGACACACCATAGACAGTACTAGGAGGGGTGTGGTACTCACACACATGTGTACAGATGCACCATAGACAGTACACAGGAGGGGTGTGGTATACACACACGTGTACAGATGCACCATAGATAGTACATAGGTGGGGTGTGGCACACACACATGTACAGACACACCATAGACATTACATAGGAGAGGCATGGTACACACATGTGCAGACACACCATAGTACATAGGAGGTGTGGTACACACACATGTGTACAGACACACCATAGATAGTACATAGGAGGGGCATGGAACACACACACATGTACAGACTCAACATAGACAGTAAATAAGAGGGACGTGGCACACACACGTGTACAGACACACCATAGACAGTACATAGGAGGGGCGTGGCACACACATGTACAGACTCACTATAGACAGTACATAGGAGGGGTGTGGCACACACACGTGTACAGACACACCATAAAGCTTACATATGTGTGATACACACGCATGTGTACAGATGTACCACAGACATTACATAGGAGAGGCGTGGTACACACACACGTACAGGCTCACCATAGACAGTACACAGGAGGTGTGGTACACACACACATGTATAGACACACCATAGACAGTACATAGGGGCGTGGTACACACACACACGTGTACAGCTTCTACACAAGCGTCAAATGCTAAGTCTCTTTGCTACCAGCTCATCCTACTCAACCCACCTGCCTGGGGTTCTTCTCCTACTTTTGTCTTCAAATGCCCTGCCCTAGCTGTCATTCACCAGCTTTCCAAAATACACAAAATATACGAGTCTGGCAGTCAAGGCCATCTGGGGTCTGCTCCACCTCAGGTAAACACCCTGCCCCTTGGAAATGTTCAGACAAGGCTCCCCCAGTCCCTGAGGGGGACCACTTTGGCTCTACCCTTCAGGGTCATGGCCCCATCCCAGGTTCCCAGTATACCCCTTCTTCTGAGCTCACAGGTGCCTTGGTCTCTCACATGCAGCGTCATTCCCCACCATGTCACACCAAGATGAACAAAACCCCCCAAACCAAGCCTGCTGCCATGCATTGCATTCCCTGTAGGACAGAGCAGAACTCCTCCCTAGGGTTTCCGAGCCTGTCAGTCTTATGGGGACAGATTGCCTCATCTTTTTCCCTTAGAGCAGCTGGTGGGCTTTTGGTTAGCAGCCTAATGCTTAACCCACTGGGTTGCCATCTCAACACATGGATTAGCAAGAGCCCCTGGAATTGCTTGCTTTCTACCTGCTTTGTATACATTACTTCTAATTTTCCAAACGAAGACAGGTATCATGATCCCAACTTCAGAGAAAAGAGAGATTCAAAGAAGTTCAGGCCCCCAGCCCCACACCGTGAGGTCTCTCAGTTATTAGGGCCCAGATTCGAGTCCACAGCTGCTTGCCTCCAATGCCCATTCATTTCTCACTGTATCTTACAAAATGGGCAGCTTGTGCTACTGTCCAACAAGGTCAAGGTCAAGGCAGCAACGAGCTACAATTTACCGAATGCCTGTCAGGTACTGAAAGCCGTGCCAAGTAGCTCTCCAGATGGGACGTCACTGTTTAATCTGATTCTGTGAGGTAAGAATGATGAGGAAGTTGGGGCATTCAGTGGCTCCAAGTCACAGCTGACCAGGAACCTGGGCACCTCCTCCAGAGCCTGTACCCGTGAAGCACCCCCATGTCAACTGCTCAACTTGTTTGTTGTTGTTTTTGAAGCAGCAGAACCATCTGTTCAAATTCTGTCTTGCTCAGAATTCCCACACAGAGAAGTGGGAGGCACCCAGCTCAGACTCAGTCCCAGGCAGCCCCAAGGCTCCTCCACAACACGTGGTTATGAACCCAGATTCCAGATCGTATACAGGACCCTCTTTCTGCTCTTCCTTCTTCATCCACAAACTGAGGCTGCGCTACAAGTTTCCTGAAGCCGGACTTTGCTGAGGCTCTTGGCACGTCCTCTTGCCATGGACGCAGGACGGTGATGTCATTGTCCTCATAACCAACCTTCATCAGGATGAGACTTTCTGGTGAGCGGACGTCCTTATTTCTCGAGCTGTTTTGAAGCATGAGCTTTATTGAGCACTATTTTCTGTATTGGGAGACACTCAGGGTTGATTCCTGGCCAGTGCCCCTCATACACCACCACCCCTGCCTGCCAGTGAAGCCTCACGCGTGGCTACAGTGCCGAACAACTTTCTGCCAAGCTACTAGACTATGACAGGCTAGACAGAAAAGTCCGGCGATTCACTTTGGGAAACCGGCCAACGAAAACCTTATGGACCACAAAGGTCTCATCGGCAGGCGACCATGGGGATGGTGCAGGATTGGGCAGCATCTAGTCCCACCATTGCCATGTGTTCTGGGGTTGCCATGAGCAGAGGGCTGACTTGACAACAGGAGCTGTATTAATAAAGGATTCACAACCTACATTCTCTCATTTACCTCCGTTTCCAAATGGGAACTCTGCAGCTCAGAGGTGAAAATGGCCTAAGGAGACCCAGCAAGCACAACAGGGTGGGCCAGGACACCCACCTAGGCGGTGTGACCCCAGACCCTCTGCTTAGAGCCATTGCCATCCATGGGACCCACGTTACCAGTTTACTAGGCTCCGACTGCAGTTAACCTCTAACCTCTCAGCAGGCGTTTGTTCATCCTGGTGATGGAGGAGCCACTTAAAGGCCTTCCGGAGCATCATGTCATCTCGAACATCAGAGCAAATACTCCGGCTCTACTAACTGCACTCAGTAAAGTGGAGGGTCAGAGAAAAAAAGGAAGACCCCCAGCGAGATGGATTGGCACAGTCGCAGCAGCGATGGACTCGAGACCAGGAGGATGTGTGAGGTTGGCCCAGGACTGGGCAGGGTTTCATTCTGCTGTGCACAGGGTCGTTATGAGTCAGAACTGACTCGATCGCACCTAACAACACCAACAATATCAATACTGCCATTGTGGGTTAAGAATTGGGCTGGTAAGCCCAAGGTTGGCGGTTCAAACCCACCAGCTGCTTCTAGGTAGAAAAATTAGGCAGTCTACTTCTATTGTGGGTTAACGCGCCAGACTGCAAAGCCATCTGAGTTGCAAGGTCGGTGGTTCAAGCTCACCAGCTGTCCCTCAGAAACCACATATAGGGTTGCTATGGGTCAGAATCGACTCGATTCTGTAAAGTTGTACACTCTCGGAAACCCCATGGGCAGTTCTACCCTATCCTTTAGGCTTGCTATGAGTTAGAATGAACTCGATGGCAGTGCGTTTTGAGTTTGGTACTCCAGTGTAAGAGCAATTTAAATTGAAATTAAATACAGAAAATTAAAAATCTAGTTCCTTGGCTGCACTAGCTACATTATGTTGTTGTTGTTAAGTGCCGTCAAGTCGGTTCCGACCCTAAGCAACCCTGTATAAGGTTTCCGAGGAGCAGCTGGTGAACTTGAACTGTCGACCTTGCAGTTCAAACGGCTTTGCAGTCTGGCGCATTAACCCACAGCGCCACACCAGGCATACTCATAATGCTGTGTGGCTCTTGTTGAAGCACTGTAGGATAAGCACTGGACTGCTAATCACAAGGTCAGTGGTTCAGACCCACCAATTGCTCCTTGGACACTCCATACAGGGTCGCTCTGAGTGAGAACTGGCTTGACGGCACTTACCAACAGCAACACCTTGTGGCTCTGACTACTGTATCATAGTGGAGAATGCAGACAAGGAACACATACAACACCACAGAAATTCCTTTTTGATAGCACTTCAGTCAGGAACTAAGAAATTCTGGTGGCACTGTGGGTTAGATGTCAGGCTGCTAAGGAAAGGTCAGCGGTTCAAATCCACCAGCTGCTCAGCAGGAGAAAGATGAGACAATCTGCTCAGTAGAGACCGACAGCCTTGAAGAGCCTGTGGGGCAGTTCTACTCCGTTCTCTAAGGTCACCATGAGTCAGAATCGACTCAACAGCAATGGGCTTGGTTGTTTCTTTTGTCAGAAACTACCAGTAGCAGCTGCCGTCGTGTTGGTTCCCAGGTGTGTCAGGGTAGAACTAAGCTCCACAGGGTTTCCGACAGGCTGACTGCTGAAGTAGACAGCCAGGCCTTTCTTCTGAAGTGCCTGGGTAGACTCCAACCTCTGACCTTTTGGTGAGCAGCCAGGCATGTTAACTGTTCACACTACCCAGTGGGTTACTCGTGTTAGGAGTCAATTCTGACTCATAGCGACGCTGGGTTTCTGAGGTTGTCAGTCTTTATGGAAGCAGAAAGCTTCATCTTTCTCCTGTGAAATGGCTGGTGGACTTGAACCGCTGACCTTACACCTGTCAGAATTAGGATGCGTTTATCCTGATCACAGATTTCTTTTGTGACTCCTATGTCTGCTGTCAACATCATTTACACGCTGGAAGATGTGACGTAGCACTGCTCTGGCTACTGGTAAGTTCCCATGAACCTGAATGGGCCGAACTTACCAGTGTACCAGCAGGTGGGGAGCCCCCTCCCTGCGACCTACCTAAGTGGCATCGTATGCGGATGTTTGTGGGCCCGTAGTGCTCCGTGATGACAGTACCAGGACTCAGCACGGAGAGGCACGCGTTCCCAAAAACATTGTTCCCGATACACGTCCGCAGGCTTCCTAGCAAGCGGTACGTCCGTGGGCACTTGCGGCAGTTCCTGGGGACACAGACGCCCTGGTTGACCAGGTAAAAGGTGAACCATGCCCCACTGGGGCTGCTGTTCATTTTCCAGCCCTGCGGCAGGCTGCAGTTGGAAAAGGCTTTGTAGAGGCTCTCAAACTCACACAGGATGGTTTGGAAGTTCCGCTCCAGCAGCTCCACATCGTGTTTCTGGGCGTCCCGGGAGAAATAGGGGGTGGTGGGCAGGTCGGGCAGGAAGAAGACCTCGGGCTTCTGGATGGAAGGACGGCTGTTGAGGTAGCGGCCCTGCTCGCGGATACCCTTGTGAATGCGGCCCATGCCGGACCAGGAGTAGCGTTTGGCATACTCTTGCAGGTTGTGGTAAAGTTTCTGGTTGAGGCCCTCGTTGTGGGTACAGCGCACACACTCAGATGACTGGCAGTACACGTACCCATTCTGTAGCCCGCTGGCATCCGAGCCCTGCATGAGTGCATTGACAGACATGTAGGGCCGGGGCTGCTCCCGGCCCACGTGGTAGCAATACCACACGAACAGGACCAGCAGGCAGGCCACGGTCCCCACCGCGGTGGTGTCGCAGTCCCGCACCGACTGGATACCAGTGGCGATGCAGTCCCTCAAACCGTCCAGCGACCAGCTCCAGGCCTCCAGCCACTGGAGCGACATCTTGGATGTGTTGTTCTTGGGGGTGTGAAGCAGGTCAGTCAATCCTCAAGGGCCCCCACTCCATGCAGCTTAGCATGGGGGTGAAGGGGTGCCTGGGGTCGGGGGAGGCATGGCTGCCAGGGTTCCTCGGTTCCTGCCAGGGGTGGCATTTACGAGTGATGAGGCGGTCCGGGGTCACCACTCTACTCCCGGTAAAAGTCTCTGTGGGTCACATTACCAAGTGGGGCTGGTCACTGTGCAATGCAGTTTTTTTTTTTTTTTAAGATGTCCAAACCTGGAATGAAAAACAAAACAAAACACAGCATAAGCGTTCCACCTGGACAAGTCCCCAGTGTGTCTCGGCATCTTCCCCTGGATCTAAAAGCTTCATAGCACAGGGACCCCAGGTCCAAAGGACATTCTCCACTCCTGGCTGTTCTTTCTTGTCTCCCCGCCCGCCCCCCTTACACATATTTTACGGGGGACACAATTCAAACTCTGATACTAATTGAAATATTTCAGTAAACTGATGTTGTTGTTGTTAAGTGCCATCAAGTCGATTCCGACCCTGCATCGGGTTTCCGAGGGTGTGCATTTTTACAGGAGCAGAAAGTCTCATCTTTCTCCTGCGGCACTGCTGGTAGTTTTGAACTGCTGGTCTTGATATTAGCAGCCTGACTCGTAACCACTACGCTACCAGAGGCCCTTCAATAAACTGACAGAGTACTAGAAATGCTCACTCATCTATGCCAAGAAATTAGGAAGACAGCTACCTGGCCAACTGTGACTGGAAGAGATCCATATTTGTGCCCATTCCAAAGAAAGGTGACCCAATAGAATGTGAAAACTACCAATAATATCAAATGCAAGTTAAAGTGTGCTACGATCATTCAAAGCGGGGGCAGAAGTACATCAACAGGGAGCTGCCAGAAAGTCAAGCCGCGTTCAGAAGAGGACATGGAATGAGGGTCATCACTGCTGATGTCAGGTGGATCTTGGCCGAAAGCAAACAATACCAGAAGGATATCTACCTATGCTTTATTGACTATGCAAAGGAATTTCACTGTGCAGATCATAACAAACTACATATTATATTATGAAGAATGGGCATCCAGACTGGAGGAGGATCATTAACAATCGGAGATACACAGATGATACACCCTTGCTTGCTGAAAGCAAAGAGGACTTTAAGCACTTACTGATGAAGATATCAAAGACTACATCCTTCAATAAGGACTACAACTCAACATCAAGCAAAAATCCTCACAGATAGACCAACAAGCAACATCATGACTGAAGTTGTTAATTTTAATTTTATTTGGATCCATAATCAATGCCAATGGAAGCAGCAGTCATGAAATCAAATGATATATTACATTGGACAAATCTGCTGCAAATGGTCTCATTAAAGTGTTAAAGACCAAAGATGTCACTTTGTGGACTAAGGTGAGCCCGATCCACACCATGGAATTTTCAATCACCTCATAATGCATGTGAAAGTTGGACAACGAATAAAGAAGACTGGAGAAGAACTAATGCATTTGAATGATAGTGTTGGAGAAGAATACTGAATGTACCATGAACTGCAGGAAGAATGAACACATCTGTCTGGAAAGAAATACATCCAGAATGTTCCTTAGTAACAAGAATGGTGAGACTCTGGCTTTCATAATTTAAACACGCTATCAGGAGGAAGCAATCCCTGGAGAAGGACATCATGCTTGATAAAGTAGAGGATCAGTGAAAAAGAAGACGACTTCAATAAGATGGACTGACACAATGGTTACAACAATGGACTCAAACATAGGACAGACCATGAGGGTGGCATAGGACCAAGCAGTGTTTCAGTCCGTTGTGTATAGGGTCACTAAGGGCAACAGCACATCTCGGTTGTTACTGTTGTTGATAAGTTCTCTCGAGTCAGTTCTGATTCCTAGTATAGGGTTTCCAAGGCCTTTAAGAGATGTGAGGGAGCAGAAAGTCTCATCTTTCTCCCACAGAGCACCTAGCAGGCTTGAACCACGCAGACCAGTGCTTATCAAATGGAGCCACCGTGCTCCCTTAAAAATGGTAAAGGGACTTTAAAAATGTGTACACTGTACATTCTAAATTTTATTTTATTTTCCATCAGCAATATATCATTCTTATTTCATTTCTCTTGTTCCATGACAAGGCTTAGGTACACACCACATTGAACAGGTCTCTCTAGGGTACCAAAGTCAGTGGTGGGCAAAGAACATTTTCTAGCCACTTGGAGATTACCTACTGGCTTCCTTCCCTATGGGATTATAAAATGATGAGATTGAATGGAAATATCACTCTCCAAAACAGACAGAAATGCTTTGCCACTTAACTCGCCAATGGTTAGAGCCAGGGTCTAGCACTCAGACAATCCGATATAACCAGATCTGAATCCAACCGTCAAGTTACCTAAATCTATTAACTTTGCTGGTCAGTGTTCTCAGAAACCCTTTCTCCACTCTATTTTTTCTAGTCTGATGAGAACTGCCAAATCTATGTTCAAATACAAACAGAATCTATTCTTTCATCCTGAGATAATTCCAACTGTACTTAATCTTCTCCTCTTTCCTTCCTGGGTATATGGGTTGTTGTTGTGTTGTTAGGTGCTGTCAAGTCGGTTCAGACTCATAGCGACCCTACTGAGGGTTTCCAAGGAGCAGCTGGTAGAGGCAGCTAAAAACTATGGAAAAGGGAGACCCTTCTCGTCCCCCAGGGACTAAGTTTGTCCTGAGGAGTGAGAAGTAACCATAATACCCTTGGGCACGTCAGTTCACCTGTCTAGGTCTCAGTCTGTGCCTCTCTAAAAGGGGGCCAATGCTGAGCTTGCTGGGTGAAGAAGAAATGATGACAAATGTCAAGCTCTCATGGTCACGGAATGGTATATGCACAATCAGAGCGGGTGACCACTAGGATGGGAGGCATTCCATCTTATGTAGCCAGCACACCAGAGGTGAAGCATCGGGGAAAAATTATCTCAAGACTAAGAATGCCAACAGCTAAAGGAAAATCCGTCTCATGTGCTCTGGACATATTATCAGGAGGGGCCAGTCCATGGAGAAGGACATCATGCTTGGTAGGGGGTCACAGAAAAAGAGGAAGACCCTCAGTGAGGTGGAATGGCACAGTTGCTGCACCAATAGGCTCAACCAGTAATGACTGTAAGAATGGTACAGGACTAGGCAGTGAGTGCTTTCTTCTGCTGTTATTCAGTGGGTCTCTATAAGTTGGAACCAACTTAACAACACAAAAACCAAAATTAAATCCCGGACACTTTGACACATTTCAAGTGATTATTTTTTTTTAACCTCAAACTTGCTAAGAGCTGAAAATGAAGGGGAACCTTAGGTGTTCATGAACTGCTACTGCCTTCTTCCAAGTTGAGGTTGAATAAAGACTCACTTGGCTCTGGTGGTGCAATGGCTAAATGTTTGGCTAGTAATGGAAAGGTTGGTACCTTGAACCCTCTCTGAGGGAGAAAAACCTGGTGATCTGCCCCCATAAACATGATTGTTGTTGTTAAGTGCCTTTGAGCCAATTCCAACTCATAGCTACCCTGTATTGGCTTTTCAAGAAGCGGCTGGTGACTTTGAACTGCCGACCTTGCAGTTCATACTGACCTTTTGGTCCAGCGCATTATCCTGTAGCACCACACCAGGTCTGTTCTACTTTGTAACAAATGGGGCTACCTTGAGTCAAATCAACTCCACAGTACCTAACAGTAAGAAGTCAAAAACACAGATGCTGAATATTCATGGCAATTTCTTCTGTTTCTAGGAAAAATGCAAGACTGGGGAGGTTAGAAGAAAGCTAACATTTTCTCACACATTCGCACTTTCTTCTCTGATCCAAGAAAAGCAGGAAAGAGCAGGTCCCACCGGGTGGAAAAAGTCCCTCCACGGCCCTGGCTCCCTCGTAGTCACAGCACATACTGGCTGCTGCCTCATCTTTAGAAAAGGACCAAAAGCAGTTGGAAAGGTGTTTTGTTTGCAAGCAAGCTCCAACCGGAGCCCCAGGATTCCTGAAGTGAAGCGTGAAACTGTTGTCCGTCTGTGTGATCACAGCACTTTTCCTAAAAGGAGTTCCCCCAGCACTGAGCTAAGTCCCTAATTGGAACTTTTCACCTCAGTGTCTCAGGAGGAGGTTTTTCTTAAACAGTTCTAAAGAGAGAGATGGTGATAATTTAACAAGCACCTGTTACGTGTTAATTTCCACCAGGCTAATCAGAAACAATCAAAAGGCAGACAAAGAGAAGAGAGCAGATGCAGTGTCTTATCACCCAGTAAGCAAGGGCTTATTGTACTTACCTAATAATCTGTAAGGAGCTCTGGTAGCGTAGTGGTTATGAATTGGGCTGCTAACCTTAAGGTCAGCAGTTTGAAACTACCAGCTGTTCCATGGGAGAAAGATGAGGCTTTCTGCTCCCATAAAGATTTATAGCCTCGGAAACCCTGTGCAGGGTCACTATGAGTCGGAACCAACTCCACGGTACTTAACAACAACAACAATAATCTGTAGCAAGTAATTTCACATTTAAAACATCTGCTTCTAGTTCTGACTGGCATCTGTCTCTCTCCCAACCCCATATAGCACCTTCCTACAGAATCAAAGCCTCTTTTCAAATTTACGATTTCTGACAGGGACGGAGGACCCAGTCAGTGAGGTGACCTAAATGGTAACATATTAGTAGGTACGGACAAGTAAGCCCATGCTTACCTCACTGCCACTAGACATTTCTGGGGTTTACCCCTCCTCATTCTGTAAAGCCAGGCTCAGCCTGGAAGCCTCCTGAAGGCTGCACTGCAAACCAAGCAGCCTCACAAGATCGTAAGCAGCTCTTGGAGCTGAAGTTAGCACTCACTATCCCTGTCAGTTACTTTAAGCCAAAAGATACTGACAGGGACCCGGTGCCCAGGGACCGATGTACATGCTCCCAGTGGCAGGAAAAACCCTTATTCCCAGGGACAAAGACACCCCTCCCCTGTGGGGGGCACTGGTTCTTATCCTACAGCCCCCATATCAGTGACCACCAAAAC